TGTGTTGTATGTGTGTGTTGGGTGTGTTATGTGCGTGTGTGTTGGGTGTGTTACGTGTGTGGATGTGTTATTCGTGTGTGTCACAGCGACGTGGAGACCGCCGCTCTGCACGGCCTGCTTGCAGCTGCTGGCCCCGCGGCCGAGACGGGCCTGGTCGCCTCGAGCCCCCCTCCTGGGCAGCAGGGCTGTGGCTCCGAGGCGGCACGCGCCCAACCCGCGCCCACGGGACGCCAGGACGGAGTCCCCCCTGCCCCACACCCTGCGGCATCCGTCGACTGGACGTAAGAGTGACCTTTCGCGACCTTTCGCCGGAGTGACCTTTGGTGCGGGCACAGATGGGCCCCCAGATGGCTCAACACACAGCAGGAGCAGCGGCTTGCGCGCCCAGGTTTGGTCCCCCCGCGGCCCCCCGAAAGCCGCGCACCAAAGGTCACTCTTACCCAGGGTCACTCTTGCGTGTAGTCGAATCCGGGCCCGTCCTCCAGGGCGGATCGGACCCACCTGCCTGCGCCGCCCCGCCTCCGGCCCCTCCGCCCCTGGCCGCCGCCTGCCAAGCCACTGCTCGGGCAGACCTCGACCGCCAGGGTCCGCCAGACCGCACCCACGCTGCACTGCCGCAGGCTGCGACGGCGGCCGGCTGCGGCTCGCCGCGGCGCGCCCCAGGCCCTGCCAGGGCGTCCCTGCCACGGGGCGGGGCCGCAGGGCTCCCCACCTGTCTGCTGCCCCGCCACCATCCCGGACGGGGTTGCACACGTCCTTGGCGTTGTCCGCGCCTCCCTGCCGGGGAGGCCGGGGAGCACCAGCCGGGGGAGGCACCAGCCGCGGGGACTCCACCAGCCGCGGGGAGTCCGCGCGGCTTGGCGGACGAAGATGGCGGGCGCACGCTCGCGCTGCTGCGTCGCCCAGTCGCAGTGCCGGCATCTCAGCGGGCAGGACCTGCGGTCCGAACCAGGCATAGACGCCCACGCCGCTTCTTTTTGTGCCGCTGGCTTGAAGTGTGCGCGCGTAAGTGCAAGTGCAAGTGGTAGTGTGGAATTGTGAAGTGTGTAAGTGTGTAAGTGTGTAAGTGTGTACGCGCGTAGGTGTGTAAGCGCGTAAGCGTGTAAGCGTGTAAGTGTGCAAGTATGTAAGTGTGTAAGTGTATACGTACGTAAGTGAGTAAGTTTGTAAGTGTGTGAGTGTGTGGGTGGGTAACTGTTTGAGTGTGTATGTGGGTAAGTGTGTAAGCGTGTAAGCGCGTGGACGTGCAACTTTGAAGGAGTGTAGACGTGTAGATGTGTAACTCTGTAAATAGATAAAGGTGTATGCGCAAGTTTCAGTATAAGTGTATGTGTAAGTGTAAGTGTGAGTGTAAGTGCACTTGTAAGTGCAAGTGCAAGTGTGGGTGTAAGCGTAATTGTGAGTGTAGGTGTAGGTGAGAGTGTAAGTGTAAGTGAAAGTGGAGGTGTAGGTGTAGGAGTACGTGTAAGTGTAAGTGTAAGTGTAACGGTAAGGGTAAGTGTACGTGTAAGTGTAAGAGTATGTGTAAGCGTAAGTGTGTGTGCGTGTGTGTGTGTGTGTTTGTGTGTGTGTGTGTGGGAGGGGGGGGGTGCGTGTGTGTAGGTGTGCGTGTGTGTGTGTGCATGTGTGTGTGCGTGCGTGCGTGCGTGCGTGCATGCGTTCGTGTGTGTGTGTGTGTATCTGTGTCGGTGCCTGTGCCTGTGTCTTTCCATGTGTCGTGGCGTGTGTCTGTGTCGGTGTCCGTGTTCGTGTCTGTGTCTGTGTCGATGTCTGTGTCTGTGTCTGTGTCTCTGTTTGTGTCTGTGTCTGTGTCTGGTTCAGTGTATGTGTCTGTGTTTGTGTCAGTGTCCGTGTCCGTGTCCGTGTCTGTGTCTGTGTCTGATTATTTGTCAGTGTCTGTGCTTGTGCCTGTGTTGCAATTGTCTGTGTGGATCCAGGCCCTATCGGCCTCTGCGGCCAGGCCGAGCCCAGAAAGCTCCACTCTGGAACCACATTAGAGCATGCTGGAGGTGTGGGTTGCCGACCTCTCCGTTCCCCCTCTCGCCCTCCGCACCCCCCCCATCCGCACCTCCGCTGCGTCCTTCTCCTCCTGCTCGTCCGGCTCCTGCTCGCCGCCGCCTCTGCCTCCTCTTCTCCTTCCTCCTCCCTCCTCCTCCTTTTCCTTCTCCTCCTCGTCCTACTCCTCGTTCTCCTACTCCTACTCCTCCTACTCATTCTCCTTCTCCTGCTCCTCCTCCTCTTCCTCCTCCTCCTCTTCCGCCTCCCTTCTCCTCCTGCTCGCCCCTCGCCCACCCCCACCCCCCTCCCCCCCTGCTTCCTCGATCGACACCCCTCGCCCCACCTCACGATCGTCGAAAACGGCACCAACGGACGGCGTGCAACGATGGAGACGATGACGATGACCGTGACGACGACGACGACGAAGACGATGGCGATGACCTATAATTTCGCCGACGGGTACCGACAACGACGAACGACAACAACGACTGGAGGCCTCGACCCGAGGTTCCCACAGGTCCGCGGAGGGCTCCAGAGGCCCAAAGAGGCACAATCAATCTAAGAACCCCTTATGCTCCAACCTCGATCATCGACCCTCGATCTTCGATCGACCCTCGATCTTCGATCTTCGGCCCCAGACCCCCGACGTTACTTTTTGCGTCAATGGGGCCTACTGGACGTTTTGTTTGGCTTCCTGGGGCCAGCGTTTCGTTCCGAGTAGTTGTTTGACTTCCCTCGTGACTAAAAACAGCACCAACAAAACGCTCCCCCGTGCTATTGTTCGATGCGCGAGGCGGCCTCGCCGACGACGGCGCCGACGGACGACTGCGACGGACGACAAGGACGTACGGCGTTGGACGACGGACGACGACGACGACGACGACGACGACGACGACGACGACGACGACGACGACGACGACGACGACGACGACGACGACGACGACGACGACGACGACGACGACGACGACGACGACGACGACGACGACGACGACGACGACGACGACGACGACGACGACGACGACGACGACGACGACGACGGACGACGACGACGACGGCGACGACGACGACGACGACGAGGCTGACGACGACAACGACGACTAACGCCGTCTGGAGGTCTTCAAGGCCCGGATGTCCCCTGAGGCGTCCGCAGGCCCCCCGAGGCCCTTCGAGCCCCCAGAAGGGCGCAGCACGTCGGGCGAGCAGCCTCGGTGCTCTGGCCTCGACCCTCTCCAGGCCGCACTCCCCACGGGTCGGCCCCAGGACCCGCGGAGGGGCCGCACCCTGGCCAGAGTCGCGGCCGCTGGCGTTGCGTCGGGCGTGGCCCTCCACAGGGGGAACACGACCCAAAGTCGTTAAAAACAATAGCATGGGGACGACTTGTCAAATACGTTTGCGCATCGTTGGGATACTTTTGTTCTGCTTCCAACATTCGCGAGGAGGAGGAGGAGGAGGACGAGGAGGACACTTTTTCCCTACCTAGGCTCTGCCTAGAAGGGTTCTTACTCTGTTAGCTTAAGGGGCCGGGCAGTGGAACACGGCCCGGGCGGTTCCCCCAGGATCCGCTCCGCGGTTCCCCCAGTACCCTGGGAGTTTTAGCTTTAGCTTTAGCGTTAGCTTAGCTTAGCTTTAGCTTAGCGTTAGCTTAGCTTTAGCTTTAGCTTTAGCTTCAGCTTAGTTTTAGCTTAGCTTTATCTTAGCTTTAGCTTAGCTTTAGCTTAGCTTTAGCTTAGCTTTAGGTTAGCTTCAGCTTAGCTTTAGCTTAGCTTCAGCTTAGTTTTAGCTTAGCTTTAGCTTTGGCTTTAGCTTAGCTCCAGCTTAGATTCAGCTCATCTTTAGCTTAGCTTTAGCTTAGCTTTATTTTGAATGTAGCTCAGCTTCAGCTCAGCTTCAGCTTAGCTTCAGCTTAGCTTTAGCTTAGCTTTAGCTTAGCTTTAGCTTAGCTTCAGCTTAGCTTTAGCTTAGCTTGGGCTTAGCGTTAGCATAGCTTTAGCTTAGTTTTACCTTAGCTTTACTGTTACTACTTATGCTGCTTTCCTAGGGGCTCCAACTCTTAGGTAGGGTCGCACTGGGATAATGTTCTTCTTCCAACACTCGCCTGGAGGAGAGCGTGCCCGACCCGATGCTGGCGGGCCCAGCGCCGTAGCCACGAGGGCGCCCCCTCCGGAGAGCTCCGGAGGCCGACTTCTCGTGGAGAGGCGGCCCTTCCGGGGCGCTCCCTCGTCTAGGATCCTCGCAGAAGGCTCGTCGAGGACCCTCGAGACGGCCCCCTCGAGGATCCCTCGAGGGGTGCTCCCTCGAGGATCCCTCGAGGGATCCTCGAGGATCCCTCGAAGCATCCCTCGAGGATCCCTCGAGGCGAGCTCCGGAGGCCGACCCCTCGTGGAGCGGCGGCCCCTCGAGGATCCTCGCAGAAGGCTCGTCGAGGACCCCTGAGGTTCCGGCGTTGCAATGCGTTCGCGATGGGCGTTTCCGCGTGGGCGTTTTTGTTCGCATCTCTTGTTCGCGATGGACGTCTTCTTGTCGTCCGCACTTTTGTTCGCGAGGGGCGTTGTCGCGTTTCGGGCTCCGCCGGGGCCCGAAACGGACCGCTCCCGCTCGCAAAGGGCAGAAAAGGTGGGGTCTAGGGTTCCGGGCGTGATTCGTGACGAAGTCGTAGTCTTTTCCGCAGCGTTGCATCTCAGGGGCAGGAGATCGAGGTTCGAGGGCTCCCCGAACCTCGATCTTCGGTCCCCAAGCGCATCCTCGCTCCGGACGGAAGAGGCCGATCCTCGTTGAGAGGCGGTCCTTTTCTCGGGTGCTCCCTCGTCGCGGATCCTCGCCGAGGATCGTCGAGGGAAGATGTCGCCGAGGATCCTCGCCGAAGATCGCCGAGGACCGAAGATCGCGGCTCCCAGATTCCTCGAGCCCCGGTCTTCGGTCCCAGGCTCATCCTCGCACCCGAGATCCTCGACGTCGAGGTGTCGTCGCGGCAGCGGCGGCGGCAGTGTGCGGCGGGCGCCGAGGCCTGGCAGGGCAGGGCGGCGCACGAGCGGCTGCTGCAGCGCGTGAGGGCGCTGGAGGCGGGGGCGCCGCAGGCCCGGGACCCGCGCCTACGCATCACCACCGTCGGGGGCGGCAGAGAGGGCATGGCATAGGCCATGGTGTTTCCTCGGATGTCATGGCGCCTCTCCTTGTCTCATGACGTCCCCGGCCCCGCGGGGCCGCGCACCTGCCGCTGGCCATGATTTGCGCCCCCCCCTCCTGGACACCCCCTCTTGGCCGCCCCCGGCACCGCGGGCTGGTTCCCTGTCGTGTGGGTTGATCGGGGTATTGTTTCGGCGGTGGGTTGCAGGGTGCGTCAAATCTCGCGGGAAGGGCACGTCGCGTGTGCAGCACAATGTGGGCGCGCGGTCGCATGCGCAAAACAAATCACGTTTACGTGGTGTATATTTCGGGATGGTGTATAACATGCCTGGGGGGTCCATCGTTTTTGTACACCACCACCACCATGCTGCCACAGGGTGATTGGGAGCAATTATTCGCGACCGAATGCGGCCGCCATCTGCGCGCATGACCACGTGGCAAGTAATTCCGCTTGGCGAGGGCAGGCAGCGGCACCCCTGCCAAGGCGGTCGCGCGCAGGATTGGCCGCTTGGTGGTGGTGTATATATCTTAGGGCCCCGCAACAGGCGAGGAGGGCGGCGCGCCAGGGGCGGCGGTGGCGGCAGCGAGGGGGGGGGGCAGCCAGGGACCCAGAGATCCAACGTTTTGGACAACTCATGACGGAGGTTTTCCTCAGCTTTCGGCCTCTAGGGGCCCTTACCAGACCTCGTTACCGTCACAAACGACTCAGGATGAAAAGCCGGTCTGGGGGAATGGGGCGAGATTTCCGGGGGCCCCGTGTTGAACAAATCACGACATCGGATCTCAGGGGGCCTCATACGTCCTCGCGGCGTGTATGAATACATTCAAAAACGAGCAAGATTAATATTTGCCGTTCTTCGCTGATTTTTGTTGGATCTGCGCTGGGCCCCCCTTGGCGTCCGGCGCCGCCCCTGGCGCGGAGGGAGGGGGGTCCAGCGCAGATCCAAGCCATCCGCGCGGAACGCCAGCAATTTATGTTTGTACCGCTTTTTTTTGAATGGAACCACATTGGATTTTCTTAGCACCGGCCCCAACGGCAACCGTCCGAAAACGACTCGGAAAGAGAAGCCGGCTTTGGGGAAGGGGGAGGCGAGGCCCAAAGACGTCCTTGGGAGGCCTCCAGAGGCCACCATGGAGCATTCAAGCGGTCCCCGATAAGGTTTCTCTAATTACGGTTAGATTGGTTGTTTTCGGTGGCCTAGTGGGTTTACGGATGACCAAGAGTGTTCCAGACTATACGAAAACTGTCGGCACAGTGAGCCGATTTGGAGCCTTGGACGAGCCTTTTCGGGAGCCAACAGTGAGTCTCTCGGGAGCCCACGATTAGCTTTTGAGCAGCCTCTGATGAATCTGTGCGGCGCCTCTTGGGAGCCTCTTGGGCCAATTTTGGAGGCCCTTAGGATCCTCTCGGAAGCTCATGTGGAGCCATGTGGGAGCTCTCGAGACCGTCGTAGGGGCCTCTGGGGAGTCTATCAAGAGCAGCTTAAAGGCATCCCCACCTCCTTTCCTTTTTAATTGCAGAAAGAATCTAGGGCCATCCAGAACAAGATTTTGCGGTGTGTCTCGGTAGTCCCAGCGCTTCGGGCTTATCCGATATCCGACTACGAGCGAGGAGGAGGACGAGGAGGCAACACCAGGCATTCTAACAAGCCCCGTCTTGCCGAGGGCATACCTGGCGGACACGGATCGGTTCCCCCCCCGCCGACTATACCACATGTGGCACACGCTGGTCGACATTGTTATATCAGATGTCTTCTCGCCTCCGCTCAGACAGCGTGTAAGTGAACCGCCCCCCGGTCCAAGCAAAAGTCTACGAGTAACCCTTTGTCATGTCCGCCTGAAGCAAAGATGCTGTTCAACGACGATACCCTCTCCAACTCGGCTGCAGGGGGTCCTTTCCACGGCCATTCTTCTTGGCGGGAAACTAAGCCCCTCGGGGTGGCGACGAGTTCAAAAGCCCAGAACGGAAGTCATCAGCAACTGATTTGAAGACAAAGCGGGTCCGCCATCGTAGGCATATGTCGCTGATCTGTCCGCGATGCATCGGCGAGTCAAGCTCGATGCTTCAGCCCCCTGAGCTGGTCCGTTCGGCGGCGAGCGAGGGGGGAAGTGAGAAGGAGAAGGCCTTCCCAGAAGGTTCGGATGCCCCCCGGCCTTCTGAGAAGCTTTCGAAGCCTCCCCCGGAGACACAAGAAAACGTCTCAGACGGCGCGAGGGTTTCTGAGAAGTCCCGCCGCTTTCCGAGGAGGCCTTCTCCTTCTCATTTCCCCTTCTCGGTCACCGCCGACTAGCGTTACAGGCGGCCCGGATTAGCAGGTCGACCTTGCCACATCAAGGGTACCATCGTGTCTTGTGTCTTGCGACCCATGCCTCCTGCATTTCTGTGGCAACGTGGCCCTCGGAAGGGTCTTGTGTCCTCTCGAGTGTCATCTCCAATCAAGTCCGACTGTACCCCTCACCCCAGCCCCCCACAACTGCTCAAGGCTTGCAGGGGAGGTCTGGACGCGCCTCTCGCACACCTGCCGGCCTCAGGGCTGGGCGGACTCCCGCTCGCCCTGGGCGGGCGCCCCATCGGTTTTGCTGCCCTTGCTGGGGGCTCGAATGACCAGCTGGGCATTGTGGGTGGACGCTGGTCGAAGCTCCTGTCGCCACGGGGACGCACAGTTGTTCGAGACGAGCGCGCGCAGCGGTTTCGCTCTTAAAGCTCGCTCTCGTCCCTCCTCCTCCCGCTCGACTTCTCTCGCGGGCGGAAGCGGGAAGCATCTCCGGATCCACGGCCTCGCGGGCTGGGCCCCCGGCTTGCGACCTCGCGGATACGGATCGTTTTTTGGGGCGTATGCCCCGCGCGGGACGCATCCTTGCGACCGTATCCACGGGACCGCGCCGCAGAGTGCAGACCTCGAGGCCGTGGATGTGGATATGTTCGCCGTTCGTGCTCGTCTTCCGCAGCCGTTGCGGTCGCCTCGGCGGCTCCGATTGGCCCCGCGGCATGGCGGACGAGGCCGCCTGGCAGTGCCCCGCGTGCACGCTGCTGAACCCCACGAGCAGCCCGGCCTGCGGCGTCTGCGAGACGCCCTGCCCGCTGGACCTCGCTGGGCCGAAGCTGACCCTGTCGCAGCCAGCGCCGCAGGCCGCGGCGCCTCCGCAGCCGGCAGCGCCACACTCGCCGGCGCCGCAGCCGGCAGCGCCACAGCAGCCGGCGCCGCAGCGCCCCGCGGCCGCACAGCGGGCGGCTCCGGCGCAGCACGCTCCCGGCGTGCTGGAGGAGCGGAGGGCGCGCGCGGAGGAGCTGGCCGCCAAACAGAGGGCGAAGGAGGCGGAGCGCCTGCTCATCCTGCGCCAGGCCGAGGCGGACCGCCGAGAGCGGCTCGGCCTTCCTGTGGCAGACGCTGCCCCTCCAGCTGCCGCCAGCGCCGCCCCCGCGCCCCCAGCCGCGGCAGCCCCTGGCGGCCTGCCGCAGACCGTGCGTCTCCAGGTGCGGTGCCCGCACTGGAGCCGGACACTGATGTTCACCGCCTTCGCGCCGAGCAGCACCCTGGGCGACGTGCGTCGCTGCGTGCGGGACGAGCTGGTCAACGGCGTCACGGCGACAGGCGACGGCCGCCAGCGCCCCGATGCCGCGGCCCTGGCTGCGCGCGTGCCCGAGGAGGGCGCGATCACGCTCGTGGAGACGGTGCCGCCGCGGCGGAAGTTCGCCAGCCAGGAGGACATGCAGCTGACCCTCCTGGCGGCTGGCCTCTGCCCGTCGTCGGCCTTGCTCGCGGAGGCGCCGCCGGTGGCGGTGGCCGAACCCGAGGCACCAGCAGCGGTCGACCCTGATCCCACAGCGGCCGAGGGCGCCCACGCTGGCCACCTCGAGGACGAGGATATCGAGGAGGCGGAGGAGGAGGAGCCAGGCGAGAGGAGCGAGGAAGATGGCGACGAGGAGGAGGAGGAGGAGGAGGACGACGACGACTCGGACAGCGCGCCGCCTCCTGGCGCCCGGGGTGGCCGCGCGCCGGGCGGCGGCTGGGCGTTTGGCGGGCGCGGGCCGAGGGGCGCGCCCGGGGGCGGCTTCGGCGCGGGCCCGTCCAGGCCAGCCGGCCCGCGCATCGGCGCGGGCGGTCAGATCCTCGGCGGCCCGCCGCAGGGTGGGGTCGCCCCCGTGGCGGACGCCGCAGCGGCGGCCGCGGCGCGCCAGGAGCGCCTGGCCGCCCTCGAGCGGCGCAGCGCGGCGCAGGCCGCGGAGGCGACCGCCGCGGAGAGGCCGCCACCGGCGGCCGCGGCCCCGCCGGCGTCGCCCGCGAGCCCCCCGCTGGAGGGCAAGAAGCGGAAGGAAGCCGAGAAGGAGGAGATCATGCGCCGGATCGCCGAGGAGCGGGCGGACTGGGCCGCCCGCCACGCGCCGGCTGCCGGCTCCGGCAGCTCGGCGGCGGCAGGCGCTGGGCCGTCGGGGGCGGTCGGGCACGGCGCCGCGGTCGAGGCCACCAAGCGCAGGCTGGAGCCCGCCGCGCCAGCCGCGGGCCTTGGGGGCGGCGGCCCGCCGCCTGTGCAGCCGCCGATGCCCAGCCAGGAGGCCAGTCGCGTCAAGGGGCAGATGGGTGGCAGCTCGAGCAAGGCTGACCGCGCGAGGGAGCGCGAGGCGATCATGAGGCAGATGGAGGAGGACCGCGCGTCCAGGCTGGAGCGCCAGGGCGCTGTCACCAGCAAGGCCGCGGCCGAAGCGTCCAGCTCCACGGCTGCTCCGCTGGCCTCGGCCTCGGCCGCCCCCGGTACCGCCAGCGCGGTGCGGCTGCAGATTCGCTGCGCGGCCACTGGGCGCACGGTAACGACGTCATCCTTCTCCTCTGAGTCGCCGCTGGGGGTTGTGCGCGACTTCGCAGCTGCGGAGCTGGGCGTGGACTTGGCCTTCGTAGAGTCCTTGGCGCTCACTTACCCACCGCGGACTGCCTTCTCGACGCCAGAGCAGATG